AGGAAAAACATCTAGAATATCAGTAAAATTGATACTCCTCTAGCCAAAGTGGGCAGAAAAAAGATGATGCCCAAATTATCAATACCACAAACTAGAGAGGAGCACAGACTAAGATCCTACAGACAATGCAAGATGATAGAGGAGTGTTGGGAGCTGTAGACTACCGCGCCTAAAAGATGGCGCCGGTTTCCGCCAGCCAGACGGTGAGTGCTCTCTGTGGTAAATTCCTTATTAGGAGAGAGGCCACGTATCCTTCTAAATCTGCTTGGTGACAACCTATCCTAGCATGCCACCTGGGCGTAGATGATTGGTAGTTGCTGGATATATTAAGGCCCGCCTTCCTGGGTTCGGGGCCACTTCCTGTAAAGCAAGGTTCCCGAATAAACTGTGAGAAGAAGATTCCTCGGTGTTGCGTCGTTCTTGCTGGTCAAGGGTGGACTCGACAGAGGAGAATTACTAACAAATTTACAATTATAAATTTTACAGTTTAGATGAAATGACAAATTCCTTGAAGGATGCAAACCACCCAAACTCACTCAAAAGAAACAGATAATCTACCATCTCCACAGAGAAATTCAGTGGTTAAAATTTTCCTTCAGCTAGGTTTGGGTGGAGCACACCTGTAATCCCAACACTTGGGAGGCTAAGGCACAGGGGTTGCAAGTGTGAGGCTAGCTTAGGCTACATAATTGATCTCAAAATTAAAAAAGTTTTCTGAGCGAGGTAACCCAATCACAAAAAGACAAACATGGTATATACTCACTCATATGTGGATTTTAGACACAGAGTAAAGGATTACCAGCCTACAATCCACACTGCCAGAGAAGCTAGTAAACAAGGAAGACCCTAAGAGAGACATACATGGTCCCTTGGAGAAGGGGAAAGGGTCAAGATCTCCTGAGCAAATTGAAGAGGGGGGAGGGAGCTAGGAGAATAAGAAGGGGAGAAGAGGAGGGGTGAGGAAGACATGAGCGAGCAGAAAGGTTGAGTTGGGGGAAGAATTGAAGAAAACAAGAATGGAGATACCATAATAGAGGGAGACATTTTAGGTTTACAGAGAAATCAGGCACTAGGAAATGTCTGGAGATCTACAAAGATGACACTAGCTAACAATCTAAGCAACAGAGGAGAGGCTACCTTAAATGCCCTCCCCTGATAATGA